CAGATGTTAAATTTGAGATGTAGAAATAAAGTAGAACAGTCAATGGAGAGTTGGGTACATGAGTCAGATAATCAGAGAACGGATATGAACTAGAGATAAAATTCGGGAGTTGTCAGCAGCTAGATTGCATTAGAGGAACATGAGTCTGCAAAGGAGACAAGAGCAGCCAGATATTTGGAAGAAAACCACAAGTAAAGGTTTTAATGTAATCCCATGTCTGCTGTCCTCATTCTTTATTCCTTTTGCTTCACTTCCTTTTCTCCAGCCTAGAGCCTGCTCTGCACACATCAGAACCTGGTGAGTCTGCCTCACACTTTAAAAGATAAATATCCATTTCACATTTGCTGGGTGTTGAGCACAATTTGGACAGTGGCTCTGCCTTCTTAATTCATTTCTGTATCAAGCAATACAAGCAAATGACACTGTCTTATTCATAGAGGACAGTAAACCCCACCATACATGAGAAAGACCTACTACTCACCTGCCCATTTCTTCACCTTGGTTTTTACCTTGAATTCTCTCTCCTCCACATACCCATTCTACTCTATTCTCAGGCTTTATCAATACTTATTTTTATAAATATTGAGTAGATACATAGAAGGTTTATATAGGTATAAAGAACTGCAATACAATGAACTTCTGTGTATCACCTACTCAGTTTAGGAAAAATAACCTTACCATTAGCTTTGAACATCCTTTCTCCTTCTCCCCAGTTCCATCCCATTCTCTCCTTCCTCGGAGATAACCACCAGCCTGCATTTTGTGACTCTCAGCAAACTAGGAATAGAAGGGAACTTCCTCAAACTGATAAAGAACATCTACAGAAACCTACAAAGAACCTGTTGTGCCCTTACTTCTCTTTATAATTTTACCAAGTATGTTTATATTCCAAAAGATATAATATCAGATTTTACATATATTTTATCATCATAGAAATAAAATCACATTGTATATATTATTCTGTGATTTGTTCTTTGTGCTCAATATTTTGTTCCTGGGATTTGTTCATGAATTTGCATGTAGCTGAGGGTTATTCGTTTTTTATCTATATTGTGTTCTAAGGAATACCACGATTTATTTATCCATTCTGTTTTAGCTTTATTCCATAAGTTTTGATATGTAACAATTTCGTTTTTGTTCAGTTCTAAGTAAATTTAAATACCAATTGTGATTTTTTCTATTTGCACCCATGAGTTATTCAGAAATACATTTTTAATAATCTTCAAATATATGGAGATATTTTATTTATCTTTTGTTACTGACATTTCTTTGTTTTCACAGAATACAGATTATAATAATGCTGTTCTCAGTGGTTCCCAACATTTTTGACACCAGGGACAGGTGTGATGGAAGACAATTTTAATTTTTCCATGGCTGAAGGGGATGGGAGGTGGAGGGATAGGAGGGTGTTGGTGGAGCTCTGTGGCCTGGTCCTGATACTGATCTGTGGCCCGGGGGTTGGGGACTGTTAGGGACAGATGCAGGTTTGCGGTGCTAACCACAGGAAAAGAGGAGGAGGGCAAAAATGAGGAGGCCAATGAGTATTTAGAACCAAACCCGCAACAGCAGGAACTTGAGGTTAGGGACTTTTTCTGGCCAGGAGCATATGCAGAGACTAGGAGCTCATGTCCAAAGGTAACCTTTTCTCCATTAACATACATTAGCATAGTAAAAATCACACCAATCAGTGCCACGACAGTTTACAAATATCATGGCAACCCCTGGAAGTTACCTATAAGAATAAAATTGGGGAGGGCCCTTAGCTCTAAAAACTTTCCACCCTTTTCCCAGAGAAATAATGAATATTCCATTCACCATTTAGCATATCATAAGCTGTAGACATAAAAGTAGAAGTGTGGTAAGACCCCAGTGTCTTCTCCACTCACAGAGGTAGACTCATTTCCCCTAAGGAAATGCACTTTCGCTTCCTATTCTGTGCTGAAAAGCCTGCAATAAAGGCTGCTTGTGTGGAAGTGCTAAGTGTCTGTCATTACTCTGTCACACTGGCCCTGCTTGCAATTTTTCCAAGCAAGGAGCCACAGAACCAGGACAAAACCCTGAGAAATCAACCCTGACAGGACCACAGGTGTAAATCACATATGTGATTTAAAATTACAACAAATTTTTAGTTGCCACATTAAAAGAATAAAAATAAACAGGCAAAATCAAATATAATAATACATTTTATTTAACCCATATATCCAAAATATTATCATTTAAATATGTAATCATCTTAAACTTTATCACAAGTATTTTAGATTTTTTTGTACTAAATTTTCAAATCTGATACATATTTTACACTTACAGCACATCTGCAGCCTTGGGGCCACATGTGGCCTCTGGATCCTTGAGTGCAGCCTTTTGACTGAATCCAAATTTTTAAAAGGATTTGTTCTATGAAGTTTGGATTTGGTCAAGGGGCTGCACTTGGGCATCCAGAGGGCCACAAGCAGCTGCAGGTTCCCCACCCCTGGACTAGACACATTTTAAATGCTCAATAGCTATGTGAGGCTAGTGGGTACCATATTGAACAATGCAGGTTTTTAGTATAAATTGTATGAGATTTGCTGAAACTTACTAGTAAGTGGTCAATTCCATATGATCTGGAAAATAATTATGTATTTTTCCACTAATTTTGTACAAGGTTCTATATATGAACCTTAAGTCTATCTATATGAACCTTAAATTAAATCTTCTATATATTTACTGAATTACTTCTTTGCTTGGCCCCGTGCTGCTATATTACACAACTACAAGAGATCATTTACATAACGATCTGGAGTTATGCAGTTTGTACTTCCATTGCCTTATGTGGTGGTCCTGGATTGACTTATCTATAACTGAGGGAGCTATGATGTATCTACCACTGGGATAGGGATTTGATACTTTCTCCTTATAGTTGTATCAAGTATTGCTTTATATATTTTGAGGCTATTTTCATAGGTATATATAAGTTTAGAATATTCAGAATAAATTAAACCTATTAGCATTATCAGCTCTGAATAATGACTTTTGTCTTAAAGTCTACTTTGCTGATATTAACATAGTTACACACTTCCTTTTCTTTAACATATCCCTGTTATATCTTTTCCAAACTTTTCCCTTCAATCTTTCCATGTCCTTATGTTTTAGGACAGTCTCTTATAGAAAGCATATAGCTAGAGTTTCTTTATTAGTTCGTTTGTTGGTACCAAGTCTGTTTTTTTCTTAACTTATGAGTTTAGTTTATTTACCATTATTGTGATTATTACTTTACGCTTTCTATTTCTCCCTCTTTTTCTACATTATTTTATCCTTCAGGTCTTTTTGCAAGGAGGATTTTTGGACATCTGTTTCCTTAGTGCATTTTTTCACTAATAGTATATTTTATTTCTATTCTTTTGGTGGTTACTCTTGAAATTTTACCATGCATACTTAATAAAGTCGAAAATTAATACCTTAAACTCCTTTCAAATAATGAAAGGAACAAATAACACTTGATCTCTGATAGTTACCCTCCTGACATACATTCTACATTTTTGTCCAGTGTTCTAGTTCTTTCTTTTTGTTAGAGCCACTAATTACATATAATTAAAATATTATTTTATACAGAAAATATTTGTTTATACTTATCTATAAGGTTAGCTATGCTTCTGGAAAAGGATGTCTGGGAGTTTTTATTTTTTTCCAATAAATTTTCCTCAAATGATATTCATGTCTGGATTACTAAATCAACGGTGTCTTCTTACGTTTGTGTCATTAAAATTTTTTAGCCTAGAAATGTAGGCACTATTTTTATTATGGTAAAAATGTTCAATAATATTATAAGAGTGAGACTGGAATAGAGATCAAAAGATTAAGAGTCTATTACAATACTCTAGGTGGGAAATAAAGTCAAGAAACTTAACAAGGCTTTTTGTGTGGGAAAGGAAAGGAGGAATTAGTTTGAGAGACACCAAGGAAGCAGAATATATAAAACTTGCTATTGAATGGTTGTGGTAGAATAGGGAGAAGGAAGCATCAGAGATGACTCAGGGATTTCAAGCCAAAGGTTTTCACCATTGAAGGTTTTCAGAAGTCAGGAGGAAAGGAAAGATTACAGGAGATGGTAAATTTGGTTTTTGATGTGTGGATGGATCATTAGGGCGGTGCTGTGCAACAGGTAGTTAGTTATAAATGAAAGTCTCAAGTCTGAAAAGGGGTCAAAGCTAAAAAGAAAAGAACGATGATGGAAAACAAAGGGATTAGAAGAAGGAATAAGCAATGCAGAAGTTATTACATCCATAGAAAACAAAAAGAGTCATGGTGATTATGCAAGTGGGAAGGAGCCCTGATCAACAAGCATGCTTTTGCTGCTACTAGTGGTATTCTAAGTCTTAGTTTCAGTGCCCTTCTGAAGTTTTCTCATGAATCTCCTCCTGTTCTTACTTCTACCCAGAGGATCACAAACTAAGCATGGAGGTCCATTATGTGGATTAAAATATTAAAGTGTTTTTTATGTTTTCTTTTCTAATTTTAATATGTTTTGTACTATACCGCATCCCTGACATTACCTTCTACTTAATTTGGTTTGTTGCTATTAATATTTTAGATAAGTAAAAGAAAAATAAATTTCTCAGGAACTGCTATATGTGTTGACTTTATGGCATATCCCAACATGTCTGGTGCTAGAATTTAGTCCTAAACTTTTTGAACCCAACTTATAAAGTTTTATTATATTTGAGACTCTACATATGTTATTACTCTTTCATATAAAATAATAGCATTACTTATTAAGCAAAAATTAAGCCTGGGAAAACACTTACCATGTATGCAGTATTTATAAATTGCTGTTAACAGTTAAAATATTGGCTGGATCATTGATAGTAAAATATTGATAGTACGTAGTAGCAATATATATATTGCTAAAGAGAATAAACAACTAAGCTGTGAAATAATATTCTCTGAGCCACGAACTACAATTTAGGAATAGTGTTAGGGGTGAGTCTTACTTGTTCATTTGTTGGATTTATGATTTTCAGGGAATTGATGCTGACTTCACATCAGAAAAGCATCGAGCAGCTTCAGGAAACCCTTAGACAGAAGCTGATGAATGATGATAACTGGAAGGAGAAGGTAACAGTAGTGTGGCTTTCGTCAGCCTATGTCCCATTTGCTTTCTAAAATTCTGTGCATTTGCCAGAAGACTATTCCACATAGATTTCTTTGTTTCTATGCACATTTTTGATTCCTTCTGGAATTTCCTGGACCAAACATGCTTATGAGGTGTATCCTTTCCAAAATAATAAACAATGTAATGGGAAATAAAAAGGTAAGAACAGATTTTGAAATATTATAAGATTAACATAGCCCTTGGTTCTCATGGAAAAGCATAATTTTTCCTTTAAGTATTTACCTTTTTTCCTCAAGTGTCAGAATCTGCATTTGATCATGTTCTAAAAGCAGAGAAATATTAATTCTCACAACTTCTCTGTTTCTATTATAAGCAGATAATATAAGAGAATGGAAAATGACTTAAAATTATTTAGTTATGAACTTTTGGCAAAGTGAAATGAATAAGGATTTAGCTTGCCATTATTTACAAAGAGATTTTTGTTCCTAGATTATGAAAAAAAAATTGCATTGATTTTGGTCTTTGGACTTTTCTATAGTATGGTTTTTTTCTTTCTTTTTTTCTAGGCATGTAACAGCAGAATATAGTTTTCAAAGTTTCAGCAATGGATATGTATTACTTTCCTAATTTTAAATAATATAAGTAATATTTTTACGATTGTTAATCCCTACCTTCTTGGGCCATGCACAGCCATGGTCTACCTGCCATAAACTTCTAATACATTGATTGATCCCTGCGGCCCTATCCTGCATACCGAGCCAAAGCATTCCCAACTCATTTTCTTCCCCAGCTGCTTTCTTTGCCTAGCCCTGGCCTTCCACCTTAGTTTTCTTATTATGTCTTAAGTTTGCCTCTGGAATTGGAGCTAGCCGCTGAAATAAAGATTGTTTTACTGAACTCCTGACAACCTGTTTGGTTATTATCAGATTCTTCTCCTTCGGGACTAGACCCCATAACTTGTAACCTCAAGCAACAAGCAGTGGCCACCTTCAAACTAGCATCTCCACCAGGAATCCCCCACTCTGCCATCCAGAGTGAAACCCTTTAGGTACTGTTGCTGGCTCAGATCAATGCTAAATTTGTTGCTTTCATTTCCAATCTTCAAATAGATGGTCATACTTAGCCAGTACTAACCCTCTAAAAATAAATACTTACCTTGTCCCTCAGGGCACACAGTCATACTATAATAAAAATGATCACTGTAACAATAGTTACATATGGGCAAAAACAAAATTTGAGAATATGGAATAAAGTTGCTATAAGTATCTCACTCTTATTTTGTAGCACGGGCCTTTTCTTTCTTCTCTAAGGCTCAACTTCTTTAATTCTTTCTAATTTTTATTAACCTAGTATACTCAATTGGCTGGTCTGCTCTTATTCGCTTCTTCTATCCTTACCAATCCATGTTTAAAAATTCAAAAATAAGAAAATCAACCTAATTAGTAGTCCAAAATATACAAATTAAAACAATGAGAGGTTTTATTTACCTATCCAACTGATAGAATAGTTTTAACACTGTGGTGAAGGTCTAGTGAGATAGTCTCTCATATCTACTCTTAAAGGGAGTAGAAATTAAAGCAACCTTTTTGGAGAGCAGTTTTTCCGTATGTATCAACAGACATTGTAGTGAGTCCCATCTTTTGACTCAGAAATTTCACTAATGGAATTAACATAGGTAGAGATTCAGAGATCCCTCCCTTTTCTCAAACTCCTGAACTCCTTCTCTTGGACTGATGCAGTGAACTTTCCTGCCTTTGCTCATGTAGAAGTTCCCATCTCCACGTTCATGCCATACGAGGGGTTTTCAGAGACACTTCACTGGAGAAACGGTCTCTGTGTTTATGGTCCACTGTAGTTCTTATGCTCACCGTACCCATCCCTGAGCTGCTAACACAGAGAATAGAACAAGTTAGCGTTAGCAGCTGGCCATATAAAAGCATTTATGTTCTTGCTTTATGCTGTTAAGTTAATTTGATTGTGAAAATAATCCTATATGATATTCTCCAAGTTCATACTAAGACCAGGATATCTTTCTAATATATTTATATCACAGATGTATTTTGGCATGTATAATTTTCTATAGTATAAATGGACATTTCATTTTGTTGAGAGGACATGGATTTTGTTAATAAATGTTATCGTTTAGCTAGCAGCAAATCAAGATTCAGAGCAGTAAAGCCAAGGATGATAATTATGTCTTGGCTATGTTAGCTATTGAGACTATGAGTAAAAAGTTCCCTAAAAGTCCTCTCATAAGAAAGGCGAGTCACTAATAGGACATTGTCATCTCTTTCGTGGGTCACTGTGCCTTTGCATAGGAATGAAATGTTCCTTTTACAAATGTATAAAACACATATTAAAATAAACTTCATAGCTTAAATGCTTTTAACATTTGAAAAAAGTAAATAGCAATTTGTGCCTGTGCTTAATTATTTTAGAGTATGTAAAAAGCACATAATAGGATCAATAGTTGCTAAGCAACAAGGATAGCACATTTTTTAAAATAACTGCATATTTACTAATTGTCATGGATTTTTGTTTATTTCAAGTATTGCTTTGATGTGAAGAAAGAAAATTAATGTGCATGCTGAACCTTTAAAATTGGTTTTAAATGCACAATGTTGTTACTATTCAGTTAAAATTTTGTAATAAAAAAAATCCTATAGCCACATTGCTTACATAATCAACTCACATCACTTATTGACTAACATTTTTTAGTACAATAAACAAATTCCAACCAAATATTTTCTTAGGTTATTATCAAGATATCACATTTAGGAACATTTTAGAATTGCACCATTGACCTCATTTTAAATAGTCTATAGAGAACTTTTAAAAACCAACAGTTATGGCCGGGCATGGTGGTTCACACCTGTAATCCTAGCACTCTAGGAGGCCAAGGAGGGCAGATTGTTTGAGCTCAGGAGTTC